AAGGCAATTAAGCTCCCCAAAATTTTTCCATGATCTTTTTTTATCTTCAGCTGTAGGATTTCTGTTTTAGTGGAGAACAAAATTGAAGGAAGCAATTTAAATTGTATGAGCCTTTAGAGCGAAGGTCACATTCAGATTATAAAATAGTTTGGACATTTTCTTCGCAAATATTTTCTTATATACAGACCATCGTCAAGTCCTTTTATTTCTTATTAATTTTGGCTCTAACCCACCATGGTGAAGAGTTGGGTAGGCATCTACATAATTGGCATCTAGGAGCAGAATACTTCTTCGACATCAAATCTGCAGTCAACAATTTATTTAGCCAAAATCTTAATCTTAACTGTTGCATGCTGTTTGGTGAGAATGAGTCGGGAAACAACTCCAGTAAGATAGTAACAGAATGATGCTCTTTACTCTCTAGTTGGGAAAAACTACTGGGTCTTTGCCGCCGTTGAGAATAGATAGAAGCCACGTTGTTAGCCAACCTTAAACTGCGTCCACCTCACCCTACTCCTGCCACGCGTTTCCTTGCGTGCGCAGCAAATCAATTTGGTTGCTGCTTAAATCATGTGTACTCGCAGTTTGATCCAGAATCAATCGTAAGAGCAATGCTAGGGGCACTCGCTTTCTGCACTCTCCGGCCAACACTTCCCCTTTCATTGGGCCACGTAACCTTCTTTAAAGCTCTCAGCGCAACCTCTTGGAAACCAAAATAACGTGGTCCAATAAAAGAGAAAGTGTTGGCTGGAGAGTGCAGGAGGCGAGTGCCCCTAGTATTGCTCTCAATCGTAAACACAACCACTAATAAAGTCACAAGTTCTCAGCGAAGCCACCAACACCACCACTTCTATCCGTGAGACCGCTACCTCCGCCATCCAAGGCTTCGGTTCCGTCAACAAAATCCACCAACATCTCTGCGAGTATTAACTAACCCACCAATTATTTATTTATTTCCCCATTTTGTAATTTAATCCTTTTGGTAATTAAAAGGAATATTCATCTGGAATTGCATATGTATGTAGATTCCATTTCTACAGTAACGACATGACCCGTTAAGTAGAGGCACACCACTTCTGCGCCCATCAGAACAAAGAGATGCGGCAGTGCTTGATCTACGACAGCCCCGAAAAGGACGCCCGTCTCATAGGGCTGGAGTATCTGATCTCGGAGAACCTGTTCCTGACGCTACCAGACGAGGAGAAGCCACTGTGGCACTTCCACGAGTACGAGGTTAAGAGCGGGGTGCTGTTCATACCCTGAATCCCAGGGCTCATCCAGAGGCAGGACATGGAGAAAGTGTGCAAGACTTATGGCAAGGTTTTCCATTTCTGGCAGGTGGACAAGGGCGATAATTTGCCTCTGGGCCTGCCTCAGCTCATGATGGCCGTCACCAGAGACGGTCAGCTCTACGATGAACTCGCCAAGAGTAAGCCCACTCTTCTTTTCAACAATTTATAGTTTAAATAATTTTAATTAAAGTGACAAAGTTCTTGAATTGAGTGTTGAAATAAATAATTTTTCAGTTGCAACTAAAAAATACATTTTTATAATAATAAAGTGTGATATGAATATAGATGCGG